CCGATGACGTCGGCCGAGTCGACTCTGGGTCGCCACTTAGCTCGCCGGCTGGTCCAGATTGGTGCCACAGACGTGTTCTCAGTCCCCGGTGACTTCAATTTGACGCTACTCGACCACCTCATTGCCGAGCCGGGGCTCAATCTTATCGGCTGCTGTAACGAGCTCAATGCTGGCTATGCAGCCGACGGCTACGCTCGTTCCCGCGGCGTCGGAGCGTGTGTTGTGACATTCACCGTCGGCGGATTGAGCGTTCTGAACGCAATCGCAGGTGCTTATAGCGAAAATCTTCCGGTGATTTGTATGGTTGGTGGGCCCAACTCTAATGACTATGGGACTAATCGGATCCTTCATCACACCATCGGGTTACCCGATTTCAGCCAAGAGATGCGATGCTTTCAGACTGTCACTTGCTATCAGGTCAGAACGATGATGATGTGTTTGTGTGTGTGTGTGTCTGTGTGGCCCCTTGTATTCAATTGTTTCTGGGTATTTTGAATGGTGATTGATTCTTTTGGTGTTATAGGCTGTGGTGAATACTTTGGAAGATGCACATGAGCAGATCGATACAGCAATATCGACTGCGTTGAAAGAGAGCAAGCCTGTTTATATCAGTGTAGGCTGTAACTTGCCGGCGATCCCACATCCTACTTTTAGTCGCGAGCCAGTTCCTTTTTCTCTCTCACTCAAGTAAGCTGTCATTTTCTTGAATAGTATATTTACGTTTGTCTGTATGTATTTATTTAAGTATATATGGATCGTTGTTGATGCATTGAATTATTGTGGTTGAATTAATTTTTTATAGTTAATTGTGGTATTAGTGATGTAGACTGAGTAATTAGATGGGTTTTTCTCTGATTTTTTATTAATAAGATGTGTGTTGTACATACATCTGTGTCCTAATCTGGATTCAGGGTATGGATTGATTTGATTTAATTATTAATTTTTTAATGGGGGTGGTGTAGAATGAGTAATCAGATGGGTTTGGAGGCAGCAGTGGAGGCAGCGGTGGAGTTCTTAAACAAGGCAGTGAAGCCAGTGATGGTGGGAGGGCCAAAACTGCGGGTTGCCAAGGCGGGCGAGGCCTTTTTTGAATTGGCTGATGCTTGTGGCTATGCCCTTGCAGTGATGCCATCTGCTAAAGGGCTTGTGCCAGAGCACCATCCCCATTTCATTGGGACTTACTGGGGTGCGGTGAGCACGCCCTTTTGTGCTGAAATCGTGGAATCAGCTGATGCGTATTTGTTTGCTGGTCCAATATTCAATGACTACAGCTCAGTTGGGTACTCTCTGCTTCTCAAGAAAGAGAAGGCCATCATTGTGCAGCCTGATCGTGTGGTGATTGCGAATGGGCCTGCTTTTGGATGTGTTTTGATGAAAGATTTCTTGAAAGCACTTGCAAAGCGGCTTAAGCGTAACACGACTGCTTATGATAATTACCACAGGATTTATGTTCCTGAAGGACATCCACTCAAGTGTGACCCTAAGGAGCCCTTGAGGGTCAATGTGCTATTCGAACATATACAGAAGATGTTATCGAGTGACACAGCTGTGATTGCTGAGACTGGGGACTCATGGTTCAATTGCCAGAAGCTCAAGTTACCAGAGGGATGCGGGTGAGCTATAGAGAGAATGTAGTTTTTTCGTTGTTTGCTTTTGTGTAGGATTCATAATGTTTACTGAGGTTGTGAAATCTGGGTTTCCAGGTATGAGTTCCAAATGCAATATGGATCCATTGGTTGGTCCGTGGGTGCAACTCTCGGATATGCACAAGCTGCATCAGATAAGCGAGTGATCGCTTGCATTGGTGATGGGAGCTTCCAGGTATATATGTCTCTATTTAGCTGCAGAAAGTAGAAACTGTTGAGTGTACACTATTTGGGCTAAAACCTTGTAGTACTTCGCCTAGTCAAATGATTTTAATGATGTGATATGTTTGTTTAATTGTGACATAAATGATTTATGTATTTATTGCTTCCCTGCTTACTATTGCTATCACCTTAACTGCTTTCGACTTGTTCACTTAGAATGAAGATCAAAATGGGTAGAAAGGCTTTACACAAGGCCACAGAGCGGGAGAGAGAGCCTTCACTTACCTGCTTAACCATGCCCTCCTATCGCACCTGTATCCCTTTTCCTTCATCTGTTTACGCTCTTCTTGCTGAATGGTTGCAGGTGACTGCACAAGATGTGTCAACAATGATACGCTGTGGACAGAACACCATAATTTTCCTGATCAACAACGGTGGTTACACCATTGAAGTTGAGATCCATGATGGACCATACAATGTGATCAAGAACTGGAACTACACTGGATTGGTTGACGCAATCCACAACGGCGAAGGCAAGTGCTGGACAGCTAAGGTGAGTCGAGTCGCATTATGCTTTCACTCTATACGTGATGGTGAAGTAGGCAGCCAGCAGCCTTATTGAACTATGATTGAATTTTCATTCTTGCAGGTCCGGTATGAAGAGGAGCTCATTAAAGCAATAGAGACAGCAACTAATGAGAAGAAAGATTGCTTGTGCTTCATTGAAGTGATTGTTCACAAGGATGACACAAGCAAAGAGCTGCTTGAGTGGGGCTCTAGAGTTTCTGCCGCCAATAGCCGCCCACCGAACCCTCAGTAAATCTTCCACTTCTACTACCATAGGGATTGAATCCGTTAATACTGAATTAACCAGCAACTTTATGTTTCCATGTCAATATAGGTTGTAATTCCGGATTTGTAAAACATTTTGCGTATGCTGCAGAGTATTGCAAGTTAGTGGATATTCACTATGATCTCCAATGTCTCCTGATCTTTTTTTTTTTTTGCTTCATTTGTTGTGTTCTTTTCCTTCTTCAATGCCTTTTGACTATGGACTGTGGATGGAAAATGACAAAGTACTGGACTTGGTTGTGTTAGTAAAAATGGAACATGATGATGGAGATATTGGCATAAGATGAAAAGACTATTTAGTCCAACTCCAACTCAGCTCGAGCTCTCGGGTTGACAGGGTCTGACCTCTTTACGATTTGATTATTTCAAATCCAGCTTAGACTCTTACTCCGGATGGAGAGCTGTCACCCACTACAGCACGGTAATATCCATATTTACATTATGGATAAGAATCGTCCAACGGCCTAATTCATTGGCTATAAAAGAGAAGATGTAAGATAATTTGGAGAAGATAATTGAACTCTTAATTTCATGTTCTTCTTCTTAAATACTCTTTCTGACTTAGGCATCGGAAGATCGATCTCCAGATTTCTTCTCGGGTCTACAACTTCTGATACCAAACAAGTTGACGTGGAGGTGATGTCAAATTTTGGTATCATCAATGCATATCGTCTTTTAACCTACTTTTTCAAAATTGGCATTCTGTGGCTCCTCACTTGATTGCCATTTGTCTTCGAATCCAGTAAAGCCAGTGGGTGCAGATTTTTATGGGGTTCTACGTGTGAGATTCATGTGAGTGAGATGTTCATGCNTTTTCAAAATTGGCATTCTGTGGCTCCTCACTTGATTGCCATTTGTCTTCGAATCCATTAAAGCCAGTGGGTGCAGATTTTTATGGGGTTCTACATGTGAGATTCATGTGAGTGAGATGTTCATGTGCAACCCAATAGAATTTGCAGACTTGCTTGCCCGGCTTGATAGGTTGATACCAATTGGCAGCCCTTTTGGCAGTGGGTGATGCGTCTTCCTTTTCTTTGGCCTTTTTTAAGTTAAATAGTAGGCTTCAGTTATTGAGTTATGAAGATGATTCAAATAATAATANCCCTTTTGGCAGTGGGTGATGCGTCTTCCTTTTCTTTGGCCTTTTTTAAGTTAAATAATAGGCTTCAGTTATTGGGTTATGAAGATGATTCAAATAATAATAAGAGTACGAAGTGTCTTATTACATCGACAATAAATTCATTAGCCCACGCTAAACAAGAACATACTATAGTTGGAAATTAAGTTCCCAAGTTCGGACATGGGGGTTTTCGTGATAATGAGTAAATTAGTTGAAAGAGATTGCGGTTGCTTTTCCAAGCAAAAGTTCCTTGCTTGGATTGATCATGCATTCAACCCACCTTAATGCTGCATTTGTACACCATAAAATCCGTACAATTCATGATTCACCGGCACAGAGAAGTGCAAACGCACATTAGCAAAGAGATTAAGGGAGTGTTTGGTACGTGGGTGTGAGGGTTAAGAACATGGGTTATGGACTAAACCCCTTAAACCCATATTTAGTAACTATGAATTTAATATAGGGTTTGAAATTCGACCCGGTCATGAAACCCTTGTTCATGGGATTTTGATGATATTCAGAATGATTCTCGAGCAAGAGTTTGGGAACGGAGGTCAAACATGGAGGTCAGATATGCTGAGTTTAGAAAGTCAGAACTATGCACAACTCAGAAAACCAGAGCTAGAACTCCCCTCAAGCGAGATAATAAGCTGAAGTAATGAGAAAGCAATTGGATACTACAAAGAATTTTACAGGCGGTTTGAAATAACACTCAAGACACAAAATTCTCAACCAACCACGATACTCTCCTAAGATCAAGGAGAATTTTTCGGATAGATAACGAGAATCACGGATCAGATCCTATAGATTAAGGGTCTCCCCCTATAAATACCATGTAATGCTCCCTTCAGAGGAGGACCGAATGACCAAAAACCTATTCTGTAAACCTTTAGTATGATCAATAAAGAAAAAGGAGCCATGGCCTCCATTAAAGTGTGGATTAGCCGAACTCCCGAGCCGGTGAACCACTATATTTTTACTGTATACACCCTTTTAATCCCCTCAATATTTGATTTCATCATAATACACGAACTTTAAAACTCTGATCCATGCTCATCTCACGTTACTTGCACCTTTTGCTCATCCACGTTCAAATACACCATTAAGTTTCATGAAACCCATCGGAGGGAGAGAGAAAGGGGGGTTAGTTTCATAAGTGAGTTTGAGAATTTCACATTCAAATAACATTTATACCCCATATATATCCATACTCATGTTTGAATTAAATTAGTTAAAGGGCACAATAATCATTTAAATACAAATATATTATCATAACAATCATATATTCCTGCACATACCAAACATGGATATGGACAACATGAAATATTGAATCCCTTCCTTGAATTCCATCTTTGGTCAAACCCGAGTTTAGACAAGTCAATCCAAATCCCTCCCAAAAACATACCAAACAGGCCCTAAGAGCCTCGTGAAGATGGAATACATGCCCACGCTCGGGCACAAACAGAGAGACTGTTATAAACAAGAAGGCAAAATTTTGATGGAGGATAGCCTGGACACTCCTACTGAACAAGTCCATCACTAGTTCGTGCACACACTAAATGACCAGGTTGGAGTAGAACAGCAGGAAAAGGGGCTCGACACTTGCTTATATGTGTTTTGAGGCGAGGTATATTTGGATGTGCACTTCTACATCGGTGGCATCGCAACTCCATTGACAGGAATCTGTCATCATCTTTCAATGTGGCTTTCCCATGTTTAACGACTTCCTCTATTACGTCTATTGAATCCCGGAAGAATGGTGAATTAAATGAGTTCCAGTGTCTTTTATTCTTCAGATGTACTGAATCAAAATCCTGGCTGATAACATGCAGGTGCAGTTGTCGCATTGAAGGTGCCTGCAAAAACGGAAAGGTCAACAAGCTTACTAGGAAAGCAATCTCATTTCTTAGCATATAACTACTAGTTTATCTCCGGAAAAAAGTTAAGTTTAAGCTACAATATGAAAATACTTATGCGTGATATCCACAACTACATCAAACACTATATTATCATCATTCCATTGCTAAATTCTCTCAGTTGCATCAAAAGAGAATGCATGCAATTATAATTATTCCATCCTTATTAATATCCAGTAGCACGCAAGTGGAAACTGCTATAGTTTGTACCGCGAGGAACAATAGTTCAAGAATTCATTATAGTCCAAACTATACACAAACCTTTTGCCAGGATAATCTGCTTTTATAACGTATTTAAATCAAAGGCCATTATGCCCTTTCTTAGAAGCTAATTTTATGTTTCTTGGGCCTCCTCCCTCTTCTTAATACCTTAATATTGCTGTATTTCACCATTTACTTGGTCACCAGTAGATGGTGTTGTCCTACCTTCTATGAAGTTACCCATCCTAATTCTCTGTCTCTCTCTTGACTAGTCCACATATCCTACTATGTCCCTTGTGGCCTTTGTCCAACATAAATTAGCATTCATTCACCATTCAGTTTCTTTGATGTGTAAATTAAGAATAAGGCAGGCGCACCTTCCTGACAACCACAAGCACATGTCTTATTGGGCACTCCCATTGATTTAAACCATTTTGTCGGTAGCTCAGTCTCATTATAACTTGTGAAGGATATAACATGATCAGGAGTCTATATCACCTTCTAGCCCTCTGTACCTTCCCCAAGGTTTTTTATAAAGACATCTGATCCTAATTCCATCATATTCTCCTATGTCCCTTGTGGCCTTTGTCAAACATAAATTAGCATTCACCATTCAGTTTCTTTGATGTGTAAATTAAAAGTAAGGCAGGCACACCTTCCTGACAACCACAAGCCCATGTCTTATTGGGCACTCCCATTGATTTAAACCATTTTGTCGGTAGCTCAGTCTCATTATAACTTGTGAAGGATAAAACATGATCAGGAGTCTATATCACCTTCTAGCCCTCTGTACCTTCCCCAAGGTTTTTTATAAAGACATCTGATCCTAATTCCATCATATTCTCCTATGTCCCTTGTGGCCTTTGTCAAACATAAATTAGCATTCACCATTCAGTTTCTTTGATGTGTAAATTAAAAGTAAGGCAGGCACACCTTCCTGACAACCACAAGCCCATGTCTTATTGGGCACTCCCATTGATTTAAACCATTTTGTCCGTAGCTCAGTCTCATTATAACTTGTGAAGGATAAAACATGATCAGGAGTCTATATCACCTTCTAGCCCTCTGTACCTTCCCCAAGTTTTTTTGTAAAGACATCTGATCCTAATTCCATCCTTTTCTTGTCTAGTCAAACTATCATATTAGGACTATCAGGTCTTTGAGTATGTGCTTAAATGGTCTATCCTCAGAAAAAGAATGGTTGCACTACTTCAAGATCACCATTTCAACGTTTAAATTTCAACAACTTTTTTGTCTTAGAAATCAAGCAACCAGTCACAGCATTACACAAGGAAAAGACAAATCAACCAGAAACTTAGCAAAATGGCTCAAGGAAGACATACTGTATGGTAGCCAAGGCGAAAGACCAATGTTTCATGTTCACTTAGGAACTTCTCAGCCCACTTCAAGCCCATGGTATTCATCGTCCTCAACAACTGGAGGTGTTCTTCACGTACATCTGCAAGACAATCAAGATCTTCAGCTCGTGCCATCACCACAAGGTGCTTTTGTGCCTGCAATAGAGTATCAATGTTATTAGATTGAAAACTAGACTGTGTGTGTGTGTGTGTGTGAGAGAGAGAGAGAGAGAGAGACCAATAACCTTTGGATAAAGATCATTCAGTACCACAACATCATCTGATATTTCTATTACATCATTCTTATGCCTCTCAGGAAACATGGCAATGCGGTAAAGAGCTTGAGCCCAGAATCCCCATGACTTGGTCATGCTTCCACCATTCTTTTCACTGTTTGGATTGTTCTCTCTATTTTTTGAATTTCTTGAATTAGATCCAAGTTCATCCTGAAGTGGCTTCCACTTTTTGTTTCCCCCAGATTCATGGACACCCTCTCTCTTGAATTTCAGTTCACTATTTAAAAATTGATCCATAGGACTAATCTCAAAGTGATTCTGAGAATCTGACAAACCTGACACTTGTTTTTCATAGCTTTCCATGGACAAATTTTTGGGGGTCCTCACTATAGATGCAAAACTTTCAAAGATTGATGAGTAAGCCTCACGAAGAATTTCACAGCCTTTAATATAGTCATTGTTGAGACAATTTGGTCTCTGCGGATTCATATTTGGTCCAAGGACATGTATGACATGGGTAACTCCTTCCCTACTAAATAACGGAGAAGTTGAAGGAAGAGGGACGATTACAGCTTTCCCGGGGGTAAGAGATACAGCACGCTCTTTTGTTGCAGTCTCTAGGGCGGCACCTGCAGCACTAAATATAGAAGCATTCACGCCTCCACCTCCTGGTTTCAGTCGCCTGTCATCCAACAATAAAGAACATTCCACAGGTATTAGAAAGCTTATGCTGCAATTGAATCCATAAAAGGAATAAACAATAATAGGCCAGTGCCCCCCTCGATTTTGTGCTACATGAGACATTTTCTCCAATAACCGCCAGTTGTTTTTCAATTGCTCAACACTCCACACACATACATCTCAGGAGGTAAATCAACTTCCAAATAACACACTGCTTCCCAACCTTATCCCTGTTTCTTATCAGGTCACTAACATTTTAAAAGTGAAATGATTGTAGGACTCTGCAACATAAAAGCAGATATAGAGACTACCATAGATGTGGTGCAGAAACTAGCAGATTTCACGTGGGTTAATAAAACCTAAAACAGCTTTTTAAATGGGCAGTAGATTGTAATCCCTACTTAACATTATAAGAAAAGCGAGTCAAGGACTCTAGAAGACCATTAATTATAGTGAGTTTCTTTTATTTTCAAACTCATATTTATTCTAGATTCTCCCTTATTTCAACCTACCTAAATCCTTGAAAAAGCATTATTACAAAAATAAATAAATAGCTCAGGGACAAATGCAACGGTGATGACAGATTATTCAAGCAGCCACAGATAATCAGGAAGAGGAATTACAGAGAGGAAATATTGGTTTTGGGAAACCCAATGAATCCTTATGAAGGCTTTGATTAGGCTAGAAGTGAATGTTAGAAGAAGCTTACCAGTTGGCAGCATTAGCAATTACGTTGCAGCGTAAACCTCCTTCTGAACTAAGTCGAGTTATATCTCCAACAAATGTGTGGAACTTACTGGAGTCAATGTTCTTTTGAGTGGCTTTGATCCTAACCAAAGCCAATATCTTTGATTTATGAGACAAGTCTACCAAAACAAGCCTAGCATCTCCAAGCTTTTTCACAAATTCCTCAACTTTCTCGACAATAATATCAGATGCTTTCTCAATGTTGAACTGGAAATCCGCTGTTGAGATAGATGGAAATGCCAAAGTGGGAACATTGCACGAAGAAACTGTACCTCCAGGAGAGCCCATTTCCAGCTCTTCACCATCTGTCACATTGTTAACAGCATGACCCAATGAAGCAGAACCATTATCTGGTCCTTCAGGGAGGCGATCATTTTCCTTGGAAATTCGATTAGCAATGGAATCCTGAGGCACATTAGCATCAGATCCTGCCCTACTGGGGCCATCGACTTTCTTTAGGAACTTCATTATACCAAGTTGAATGTTAGCGGCTGGGTTCTTCTGGCCAAAATAACCAGATGGAAGGGTATCTAACNTCCTGCCCTACTGGGGCCATCGACTTTCTTTAGGAACTTCATTATACCAAGTTGAATTTTAGCGGCTGGGTTCTTCTGGCCAAAATAACCAGATGGAAGGGTATCTAATGGACCAAGTGCATTGTACATATTAATAGCAACTTGAACATCACTTTCATTCTGGCAAAGCATTATTCGAGCGAACCCTTCACTCAACTTTGGGAGTTCCTTCTTTTGCAGCATTCGGTTGACAACAGCAGCAGCTTTTCCACCTTGCAAATTTCCTTCATGCCCAGTCCTCTTTACAGACCGAGAAACACAAAGCTTTGCAGGAAGATCAAGCACCACAGCATGCACATCTACTTGAGGGCCACCAATATTTACAAAGTCTAAGCGCTGTTCTCTATCTAAATTGCATCTGTCAATAAATACACTCTTGCCAGCCTTCAATGCACTTGCAGCACTCATCAGGCATTGAGTTTTGGTTCCAGCCTTACCATTTCCAATCGTGTCCTGCACTAAAAAGCAAAGAGAAGTAAGTTACTAACCCCACAAAAACAATATCCCAAACTGTCAGAACAACATTGCTTTAACCATTTACATAATAAAGTACAATACAATTCAAATCTCAAAAGATAACAAAATGACTTTTGCTTTTCACGGTTGAAATCTCTTTAAATTTTATTTTAAAATTAATCTGACGGTTACTATTAACACCCCAAAATTAATAGAAAAAATAGGCCTCTAAATGTGTGTTTAGGACAATTTTTTAAAAGTGTTTATAGGACTTATAATTGCTCATAAGTATTTTTCTTTTTTAAATAGTATTTGGAATTGTCCTACCACTACCACTACCACTACCACTAGCACCCCCCCCAACCGCCCCATCACCACCACCACGACTACCATTATCGTTGCCGCCGCTGCTACCCCACTATCACCTGTCACAACAACCACTATCACTGTCGCCACTTCACTATCATCACCACACCCACCGTCCCACCACAACTACCGCAACCACCACCACCACCACCACCACCACCTTACCACTAACACCACTGTCCCACCATCATCCCTACTACGACCATCCCCACCGCCCTACCACCACCATTGCCCCCCACGACTGCCACCATCACAACCGATTGTCGTCACCCATCACAACCATCACCATCTTCCACCACCACCATTGTCGTCCACCACCACTCGCCTCAACTATAACCAAATGCTTAAATTCATTTCTTTTTTCTCAATCTTTGTATTTTAATTTTGAATGTAAATATAAATATATTTATTGTTGATCATTTTTTTTATTACTACATGCTTTCAGACACAGGAAATAACTAGTATATCTATAGAAGAGATAAATGCTCCACTGTTTAAGTCCCAAAGACACCATGTTTCTTTATCTATGCACAATGCTTAAAATTTGATTACCAAAGATAAAAAATGAACAAGTCTCTCAGACTAAGAAATCAAAAGGTATGAGGGCTAGTTGGGAAGCAGTACACCAGTAGGATACATGATACAGGTGGACAATGGTCAATGGATCAACTTATGAACAATGAATATGAAGAAGCCCATTGAAACATTTCAACAAACACGTGAGCTTCAGAGAGAGAGAGAGATGAACCTGGCACACTCGGACCCATGGTCGGGTAGAGACCCGCATGACATGATCGCAGAAGGTGGATTTGCCACTACCTGGTGCACCCACCAGTATCACCACTATCGGCTTCCTCTTCTCTTCTTCTTCGCCTATTACGAATATTGGAAAGAGAAAAAAAAAAAAAAAAGATTACACGACTTTAAGCATAACAATTCAGAAAACCCTAGAGCTAGAGAGAGAAAATTTTCCATCCACAGTACACATTTACCTTTAGTAGGAGTTTCGCAATCAACCTCCATTTTAGGAAATTAAAATGATATCTCTCTCGAAACAGCCCCTTTTTGCAGATGGTGATGATGTATGGGGTCTCCGGAAACGGAGAAAACCCTCCCTCGAACTTCGGCGTAGGATGTCTCTGCCGATTAGTCCAATTTCTAGCAAGTTTGTAGGGCGTATGACCCGATGGATATCAAATAGTCCGACAATCGGATCTGGATCCATTTGAGGAAAAATTATAGGAGAGGCCTCCAAAAATATGAAATCTCCCTCAAACAAACATCCACATTACTCATAGATTTTTAATAAATTTTTATTATAAACTTGTCACATAATATTTAAATATAAGCAAAATATAATTTATACAACTCTTGACCAAATTTTTACTCAAACTTTGGTCAAAGAACTATCTAAATTACACATTTTTTGTCATAAACTATCAAAATTTTGGTTAAAAACTACTTAAATTACACATTTTTGGTCAAGAACTACTTAAATTTTAGTCAAGAGCTACCTAAATAATTTTTTTTACCTATATTTAAGTATCACGTGATAAATTTATGATTAAAAATAATTTGCAATTTAGATACTATATGTGTAAGAAATCACGTAAAAACATATTCAATACTTTAGGAACCAAAATAATACAATTAAAATATTAATGGCCAAAATTAGACAAACCCCATAATTTAAAAACCTCAAGTACAATTAACCCTTATTTTTAACTTCAACTTGGAGATCCACTCAATTGATCCACTCCATTGGAGTCTTGTTGAAGCCCATTCGAACAGATTTTGAAGCTCATCAGTGTTACTTGGCTGAGTAAGCTGTACAGATGCTGTCACTTGAATTTGGAAAAAATTAGTTTGACTAATTTGGATCTAAATTACATTAACTCACTGAAATTTCGTATAAACAAGTCAAATTCAAGGTTCATTCACCCAAAATTCATGGATCCGTATGCTTCTGCAGATAAGATTTTTAGTTTGCTTTTGCAGCTACAGGATTCCGGCCAAACTGGATGATCATGGGCTTCCCTTTAAACACATACCCATTAGCCAGATTCAGAGCTCGATGGGCAAGCTCAACCGTTGGAAATGTCACAAAAGCTTGGCCTCTCATTCTTCCCTCCTGCATTAGCTTCACACTCAGACAAGATTTAGCAGCCTCAATGCTCCCAAATAATGATCCAAATATGAAGTAGAGGTTATCTGCAACCACATCCTTTGCTAAGTTTTTTATGTACAACACTGAAGCAGGACACCCAGCAGTATAATTCTTAAACATTGGAAGTGATAAAATTTCCTCAGGTGGCAACTTCCCACTCTCCAATTCTTCTGGGGTTGCGTAAGGTTTCAGATCTGAGTTCTCTTTCTCTACCTCCTCTGATTCTTTGTTGGTACCATTATGTTTCTGTTCAGTCTGCATTTGTTTAGGGGCAATTTTGATATGAAGCACAGGGTTTTTCTTTTTGACCACTGGGATCTCCTTTGGCACCAAGGTGGCAGGTTTTAATCCTACATCCTCATGAGCCACGTCTTTATCCACTGCAGGACCTAGAATAGTTTCTCGCTTGATGCGTTTTTGTTTATGTCCCACTTCTCTCGTACCTCTGATGGAATTGGTGTTGTCATCAACTTCTTCATCTGAAGACTCCAACTCTGATTCACCACTAGACAGATCTGCCAATCGAGACTTAGCAGCTGAGGGAGGAGGAGGAGGAGGAGGAGGTGGTTCGAGTGGTGGCATAGCCGGTGCTGGAGGTGTTAGAGGTTGCATTGGCAAAGAATGAAATGGAGCTGGAAGATTCATTTTGTTCATCAAGTGTAACACCTGGATATAGAATCGAGGAACTGCAATAAGAGCATTCACAATGTTGGTCACTATATTTCTATCTGCTGAGGGGTATGCATACTCAAGATGGGGAGGAAATGGGTAGTCCACGCCAAGTCTTTCTGCTATGGATTCACTAGCAGGTAAGGAGCCTCTTTTCAATCCTTCATCAAGATCTCTGGTTACAAGAGCATTTTTCATTGAGGATATGGAGCCCTTCCCAAACTGAGTTTCACTTTGATGAGATTTGCTATCATCTATTGGTTTACTAGCTTTCTCCACCGACAAGACTTTGCCAAGAAACCGCAATCCGTTTAACTGGTGTTGTGCTTGCGATGCCAAAGCTTCACTCTTGAAATCAATGAATGCACAGTTTCTCACTTTTCCTCCAGTGCACGGCCGCACGTAGGAAGCACCATAGTGAGAGAATAGTCGACAGAGGGTGTCATAGGGAATGGCTTCAGGAAGGTGACGAACCAAAAGGGTAGCAGCTGCTTCTTCTGAGGGCTTTGAAGTCTCTTCTGCCATTTCTTGATAGGTGCTGTAGCAATTAAGTATCCACTGCACTTACTTTAGCTCCCAGACAGTGCCAGCAGTGATGGTGATGACAGCCAGCAAAGAAAAGCAGGGAAGTGCTCAGTTCTTCCTTACAGAAAGAGAAAATGGTGCATGCGCATTCAGATATTACCTATGCAGAGTGAAAAGATAACAGGTGAATCTCAGCTTTTAAGATCAACTGGGTAAATACTATGTATGCATAGGAGAACAGCAGCCAAAATTTTTAGAAGCCAATTCCAAGGCATTTGGATTAGACAAAGAAAATTCAACCATCTACTGCATTTAACATGCACATCACACCACCCAGATCCAATTTCATGGCACGCCCAAACATTACAAAGTGCATCACCATAGCTAATTACACAAGCCTTTGAAATTTACTATACTAAAACATTTGATTTACTTTCTTGTCAGGTGATACCTACTTAACATAATTCAAGCAGAGAATAACAAATTAGAGAGCCCTCTGCCTCTTTCACTACACAAAATCTCCTAAATGAGCTTTCTTCATTAAAGAAGCTTATAAATCCCCCTTTAGAATGAAGCAATTGTTACTTGAATAAACTAAGAAAGTATTCTCCCAATTCTTGTATCTCCTCATATTAACTCTCACATCTGGTATCAGTTTTGTTCAACCTGCCATTCCAAAGTTTGATGGACAATACATTCACTGGAGCATGCTCATGGAGAAATTTCTTCGTGCAAAAGAATACTGGACGTTGATTGAAGATGGGTTTCCTGCCGTAGCAGCTGGTCCAGAACCTACAGATGGGTTTCCTGCCGTAGCAGTCGGTCCAGAACCTACAGATGAACAGAAGAAGGCAATGGCTGATCTGAGATTAAAGGATTTGCAGGCCAAAAATTATCTCTTTCAAACCATAGACAGGTCCATCCTTGAGATTATCCTCAGAAAGGATACCTCAAAGGATATTTGGGATTCGATGAAGCTGAAGTATCAAGGGAATGCAAGGGTCAAACGCACACAACTTCAAGCACTCCGCAGAGAGTTTGAGGTTCTCCACATGCAAGAGGGAGAGTCAGTTGATGCCTATTTCGCTCATACTCTCACTATCACAAATAAACTGCGTGTTCATGGTGAAAAGATGGCCGACATCACTGTAATTGAGAAAATTATGCGATCTATGTCTTCCAAATTTGATTACGTTGTTTGCTCCATTGGGGAGTCCAAAAATTTGGAAGACATGTCTGTTGACGAATTGCAGAGTAGCCTTTTGGTGCATGAACAACAGATGAGTAGTCATGTTGTGGAAGAGCAAGCCTTAGCCATAAGGCATGACACCCATGTCGCCGCACAAGGTCGAGGTCGTGGTACTAGTGGTCATGGTCGTGGTCGCGGCAGAGAAAGTTTTGATAAGTCAATTGTGGAGTGTTACTACTGCCATGACCTGGGACATTTTCAATGTGAATGTCCAAATAAGAAGGCCAAGGGACTGAAGTTTAATTTTGTTGAAACAAGTGATGATGCATATGCACATGAAGAAGTCCTTCTCATGGCCTATGTTAATGTTGATGGAGGAGATTCAGGGAAAGAGGCTTGGTTTTTAGACTCAGGTTGCAGTAATCATATATGTAGAAAACTGGCGTTGTTCTCATCTCTAGATGGCAGCTTTCGCAAATCCGTCAAACTGGGAAACAATTCCAAGCTGGAAGTTATGGGCAAGGGCACTATTCACATGCAAGTTGGTAAAATTGTGCAAGTCATAAGTGAGGTATTCTATGTTCCTGCTTTAAAGAATAATTTATTGAGTATTGGACAGTTGCAGGAGAAAGGCTTGGCAATTTTAATTCGAAATAACATGTGCAAAGTCTTTCATCCACAAAAGGGTCTTATTATTGAACCAACAATGTCTTTCAACCGAATGTTTGTTCTTCTTGCCACGATCCAGACACAAGATGACCATTGTTTGCATACTCATGTGGAGAATCCAAATTACTTATGACATTGCCGCTATGGACACCTGAGTTTCAGAGGATTAAAACTACTTCATCAATGACAGATGGTCAAGGGTTTGCCACCACTTACTGACTCCAACATTTTATGCGAAGATTGTATGATGGGAAAGCAGCATCGAAATCCATTCCCACAAAAAAGCATCTGGAGGGCCTCTCAAGTACTTCAGCTCCTTCATGCTGATATTTGCGGACCTATCTCTCCGATTTCCAATAGCCAGAAGAGGTACATCTTAACATTTATTGATGACTTTAGTTGCAAAATCTAGGTGTTCTTCTTGACTGAAAAATCAGAATCATTTAGCATCTTCAAAGCTTTTAAAACAAAAGTAGAGACAGAGAAGGAAACTTGCATCAAGGGGTTACGGACAGACCACGGAGGGGAATTCACCTCAAAATCATTCAATGATTTCTGTGTGTCACATGGCATCCATCGTCAACTTACAGCTGCCT